GCAGTGTGCCCATGCTGGGCCCGCAGGGTTAGGGGTGGGGGGAGGCGGATGGTTGAGCTCAGAGCCCCTCGAGTGGCCGCAGTTAGCGCAGCGTCCGTGAGCGCCCAGCGCCCCGCACAGGGCAGCAGACAGGCACCGGCGTGGAGGCATCTGGCCCTTGGCGTGACATCATGACGAGTGGCATCTCCGTGGGCTGGGTCCCTTCCGCTCTGGCTCCTAGGCGGCAGTCTTGACCCCATTTGGTCCCCCAGGTGTATGATGTTCCTCCGTCGGTGAGCAAGGATGTGCCGGATGGGCCGCTGCAGCGAGAGGAGACCTATGACGTGCCCCCTGCCTTTGCCAAGGCCAAGCCCTTCGACCCGGCCCGCCACCCGCTGATCCTCGCCGCCCCGCCTCAGGACCCCCCGCCCGCCGAGGACGTGTACGACGTGCCGCCCCCTGCTCCCGACCTCTACGATGTGCCCCCGGGCTTGCGGCGGCCAGGCCCAGGCGCCCTGTATGACGTGCCCCGTGACCGGGCGCTTGCCCCTGAGGTGGCTGACGGCGTGGGCGATGACGGCGTGTACGCTGTGCCCCCACCGGCCGAGCGGGAGGCCCCCGCCGACGCCAAGCGCCTGTCGGCCTCCAGCACGGGCAGCACCCGCAGCAGCCAGTCGGCGTCATCCTTGGAGGCAGCTGTGCCAGGCCGGGAGCCCCTGGAGCTGGAAGTTGCGGTGGAGTCCCTGGCACGGCTGCAGCAGAGTGTGAGTGCCACCATAGCCCGCCTTTTGGACCTGGCGGGCAGCGCCAGCGGGGCTGGGGGCCGGCGGAGCACCCCTGAGCCCCAGGAGCCGCCCGTGCAGGACCTGCGGGCAGCCGTGGCGGCAGTCCAGGGCGCTGTCCACGAGCTGCTGGAGTTTTCCCGCAGCGCCGTAAGCAACGCCACCCACACTTCTGACCGCACCCTGCATGCCAAGCTTAGCCGGCAGCTGCAGAAGATGGAAGACGTGTACCAGACACTGGTGGCCCACGGGCAGGTCCTGGACAGTGGCCGAGGAGGCCCCGGGTTGACCCTCGAAGACCTGGACCGCCTTGTGGCCTGCTCGCGGGCTGTGCCCGAGGACGCCAAGCAGCTGGCCTCCTTCTTGCATGGCAATGCCTCACTGCTCTTCAGACGGACCAAAGCCTCTGGCTCGGGGCCAGAGGGGGGTGGCTCCCCACACCCCAACCCCACTGACAAGGCCAGCAGCATCCAGTCGCGACCACTGCCCTCTCCCCCCAAGTTCACCTCTCAGGACTCTCCAGATGGGCAGTACGAGAACAGCGAGGGGGGCTGGATGGAGGATTATGACTACGTCCACCTGCAGGTGGGTGCCCACACCGGCCAGGACACAGGCCCCGACCACCTCTCATGTCGAAGGAACCCCGGAGCCTCTCCCCTGCCTCCTCCGCCCCCACAGGGCTCTCCTAGAGGGAGGGGTGGGACCCTCCATCCATGGTGGTCAAATGCGGTGGCCGCGTGAGGGTGCATGGACATTCAGCGCCACCTGGTGGACTCCCTGGGCTTTGCATCCCACCAACCTGCTGGCCTTTTTAGTTTAGCCCTTGTTTTCCCTTCCAGGGGAAGGAAGAGTTTGAGAAGACCCAAAAGGAGCTGCTGGAGAAGGGCAACATCATGCGGCAGGGGAAAGGCCAGCTGGAGCTGCAGCAGGTGAGGGCCCAGCCTCGCTGGGGGGGGACCCTGGACCAGAGAGCCGGCTTCTCCCGGAATGGTGGCCTCTAACAGGGAGGCCACAGTTCCAACCTGCCGGGGCAGATTCCTGCCCTTAACGTCCACCCAGCCAGTCACTTCCCAACTTCATGATCATCTCCATCCCCCCAGTACTGGGTTTGAACTCAGGGCCTCCCACTTGCTCAGCAGGAACTCTACCACACGAGGCAGATCTCAAACTCCTGGGTCAAGTCGCCCTCCTGCCCCAGCCAGCTGAGGTACTGTGAGTGTGCCGCTGCACACCTGGCCTGATCCTGTTTATCTTAGCGGTTATTACCCGAAGGCTGGGCCTGCAGGGCGTGGTAGTACACTTAGCATGCCTGAAGCCCTGGACTCAAGTCCCAGGTCTGCAGTAAATAGGTACAATTAGGTTCTTATCAGGGTAATTCTAGACCTAGAGAACATAGAGCAGTGTGCACACGGCCTTCCACCAGCCAGCACCCGCCATCGGGGCCGCCGCATGCCTGCGCTAAGTCTTGGGAGTCACTGCCTTCGTCTCCAGCGTTTTCCCCAGCGTTCAACGTTCTTCATAAATTCTTTTCAAAGGCCATATAATATCTATTGTTGAATTGTTTCCATAGTGCCCAGTTTTCCTTATTCTAGATACTGGTGCCCTGTTTGAAGAGTTTGCTTCATGTTTTGAGTCATTTCCTAGGATAGGAAAGGGGTAATTCTGAAAAACACGGAGTGTTTCATTCCCGTTATGAAGGAATTCAGAGTAATACAAAGCAACACTGCCCAGCAAGCTTTCCTTCCTCCCTTCCCTGGGGAAGAGGTGGAAGGGAGGGGACAGAGCCTGTCCCTCCCTGAGCCCTGGCCACAAAGGGGGGTTCCCCCCCATCCCCACTCCCTACTCCCCACAAGGCTGGCAGTGTAGACAGATGCCTCATGGGAGCTCTGTGGAAAGTCAATGAGTGACGCGTGGGAATAGCAACATGTGCTAAGTGTTGAGCGAATTGGGCTGCCTGTGGCTTTAAGAAGTAGACATGTCCTGTGTCCCCCCGCAGTCTTTCAGCACATTTTCACCCCTTGGTCCCGTTACCCCACTTTGAGCTTGGGGAGCAGTGTGCTGGGCGTATGTCCGTGGGCCCACAGCCTAACCGTGCTTCCCCCGGCTTCCCCAGCTGAAGCAGTTTGAGCGGCTGGAGCAGGAGGTGTCCCGGCCCATAGACCATGACCTGGCTGGCTGGACGCCCGCCCAGCCCCTGGCCCCAGGCCGGACAGGCAGCCTGGGCCCCTCGGACCGGCAGCTGCTGCTCTTCTACCTGGAACAGTGTGAGGCCAACCTGACCACGCTGACCGATGCCGTGGAGGCCTTCTTCACCGCCGTGGCCACCAACCAGCCGCCCAAGATCTTCGTGGCACACAGCAAGTTCGTCATCCTCAGCGCCCACAAGCTGGTGTTCATCGGGGACACGCTGTCCCGGCAGGCCAAGGCGGCCGACGTGCGCAGCCAGGTGACGCACTACAGCAACCTGCTGTGCGACCTGCTGCGGGCCATCGTGGCCACCACCAAGGCCGCGGCCCTGCAGTACCCCTCGCCCTCGGCGGCCCAGGACATGGTGGACAGGGTCAAGGAGCTGGGCCACAGCACGCAGCAATTCCGCCGGGTGCTGGGCCAGCTGGCAGCCGCCTGAGCGCACACGATGTGGACATGGAGGCAGGGAGGCACCCACCGGAGAGTCCGGCCGGCGTCCCACGGGCTTGGGGCCCGGCAGCCCCGCCGCGCCGCGGGCCCCGTGTCCTCGGCGGTGCAGGCTTTGTACATAGTTGTGACAGGCGGTGGGCAGACGCTTTCTTCTGGCTGCACGGCTTAGGCCTCCCTAAGCCTGCAGCCTCCTCTGGGCTGCAGCGGCACCGAGCACGTGCCGAGCCCAGGGGGCCACGCAGGGGCCCGGCACTGGCCGCAGGGCCCCGGGCTCCGGGACAGGCTGGGCAGCACTCAGAGAGAAGCCAACGGAACTGTTTTCCTTACGGATTTCTAATCCTGCCACAGATAGTCGACACCTAATAAAAGTTGGAGAGGAAAGCGATCTTCTCCTGCTCGAGGCTTTTGCTCTACCACTTGCCTGTCAGCTTTACTGCCAGCTTTCTCTGAGGTGTAGTTCTTTAGCAGTCAGTCTGGTGGACCTTCCTGCCCAGACTGCCTTTGCACCACAATCCTCAGGACTCAGACCATTGTACCTGTCAGTACACGTAAGGACGACTTAGCACTTGAAGGAGGAGGAAAAAAGCTAGGTCTGGGAGAGATGCTGCGAGCACTGCGGACCGAGCCCGTACCTCCTGGCCTCTCTCATGCCCAGAGCTGGTTGGGCCTCCGCTCTGACCCCGCCCCCGCCCCGCCCCCGGGGACCTGCAGCACCCAGGCAGCACACTGGCCAGAGCCACAGTCAGAGGCCATGGCCTCCACAGGGTGGCTCTTCTAGGGAGGGGACAGGCCTCCCGGGGGCACAGGGAAGTAGCGTGCCCCAGGCACTCGCTCGTGGGTCAGTCCCCACGCACGAAGGCTTGGCCTGGCTGGGAGGAGGGCAGGGCTGTGACTGTGGTGTGGGATAGCCTGGGAGCAGCTTGTCTGCAGCCTGCAGGTTCCAGACGCTTCCTTCTGGCTGCACGGCTTAGGCCTCCCTAAGCCTGCCCGCCTCATCGACCCACAGTGGGCAGCCCCCCCCCCCCCCATAGCTGTGCACCCTCTGAGCCCAGTCCTAGGACGGCTGTGTGTGCTCCCGAGGTCCTGGGTGTGCTCGTGGCCTTGTTCCTGCTCCTCACTGGGCCATGGGGGGGGGAGGTGACCCAGGCTGCCTGGATGCCTGCGCCTCCTCTCAGCAGAGCTGCCGCCCCTGCACACGCTCGCAGACACCGCGCAGAGCACGCCCTGGCGGTGGCCTCTGGCCCGTCCTTGGGCTGAGGGGTCGGCCGTGTGTCACCGTGGGAAGAACCCCAAACCCACAGGTGGGTGCGCGGCGCCTCACCGCCTGCTGCTCCCATGGCAGCGCTCTGAGCATGCGTGCGGCCGCCAGCTGCTGCCTCCAGGCCGGGGCTGGAGGGGAGGCCAGGCCGCCATCGCGCACACACCCACACCCTGACACCTATGTTTTTTTGTTTCCTGTGCCTGTGTGCTTCTGACCAGCCACGTGATGGGAGAAGGACTGGGGGGCCTCTCCCCGAGATCCCCACCTCCTGGGTTGGCCCAGCCCAGTGGTCCACGTTCAGGAACGGGAGAGGCCCCCAAACAAAAGCCAGACCACACTGATGGGTGTTAATGAATCTGTTGAGGCTGGGTGGGGAGCAGGGCAAGAAGGAATTCAGAGGCTCAGAGCAGCTCTGAGGCTGTTTTCCACCAGGGTCTGCTTCACCCAGTCTAGGCGCGCAGTGACGCGGGTGAACACAGCGGGCATGCTGGCGTCACATTCACGGCTGCCCCAGGACACGATGCCCACCTGGCTCCACACTCCCCCCTTCTCGCACACCAGGGGGCCTCCGGAGTCGCCCTGCAGGGAGAGGGAAACAGGCTCTGGTTTTGTTGTAGCCCGGGCAGCCCGGCCTCTGCACATGCGCCCAGAGGCCAGTCCATGGCCTGACCCAGGACACCTCTGCCTGCTTTCTGGGTGGGTTGTGGGAGATTTCAGCAGCTGCTGTGGGTTGAACTTTCTGGAAGTCTGGGCCATTGTGTGACAGAAGTCAGTGCAGCTGAGTGCGTGCAGGGAGGCGCGGGAGGGCGGGCTGTGCGGGGCAGCGCGGCTGCGGCTCAGCCTCGGCTCTGCCTGGGCCCTGTCCAGGCTGCGCGGCTCACCTCCCGCAGCCGCCACGCACACGCTCACGGGGATCTGACACCATCGCAGTTGAGACACTGCACCTGCCTCCCTCCCCCCTCAGCCCTCACCCCGTACTCGGGCAGCCATGTCTAGAGAGAGGGGGGACAGTGTGGGCAGAGCCCAGGAGGCCGCACCATGCAAGGGCCGGTCCCGTTGCCTCCGGCGCAGATCATGTCATCTGTGACGTCAGCACCCCAGTACTTCTGACAGTCGGGAGTGGACACAAGGGGCAGCACTGCCTGCTGCAGCTTGTACCAACTCTCCGGGTCTAGAAGGGCAGCAGAGTGAGTGGTCAGTGCGCATGCCCCTCTCCCCCAACCTGGCAGCTCCCACCTCCATCAGCCCAGTGGAAGGGATGCTCACTGGGCAAGAGCGTCTGGCCCCAGCCTGTAATGACGCACGGTGTCCCTGGCGGGAAGTCAGCCTCGTCACAGGCCAGGCACACGGCGGACACAGTGTCGGTGAAGCGGGCCGGGGTGGCCAGCTTCAGCAGCGCGATGTCATTGTGCACAGGCTCTATACTGGCATCAGGGTTATTGATCACCTGTGGAGGAGAACCGAGCCCCAAGTGAGACCCAAAGAGGAATCCAGGCTCTGCGATCTTCTGGGGACCAACTCCTTCCCTGGGGGTCCGTCCAGCAGGCCCGGCTACCTCTGCAATGTCCAAGACCTGGACGCCCTCCTCATCAGAATCCAGGTTAAACGCCCCCGCCACCACCTTGTCACCTGGCCTACACATGGAGACAGGTAGGGGTGAGACGGGAGAGCGGCCTGCTCCCTTCAACCCTATGAAGCCCCAGGCTGCCCAGGACTCACGTGACCATACAGTGGGCAGCAGTGACCACCCATTCCTCACTGATCAGGGCGCCACCGCAGAAGTAGATGCCATCTTTGTACTGGAGAAGTAAAAGGGGACCATCACAATTCCCACCGGGACAGCACCCCACACTGCCCCCCGCCCCGTGCCCAGAATCCCCTCTCACCCGAATGTACACCATCCAGGGCCAGGAGCCAGGGACAGCGTCCTCCCCACCGACCACCCTGGACAGGCCACTGAGCTCAGGAGGGATGGCGGGGATCCCGCAGCCTAAGGGAGCCACGAGGTGACAGTCAAAGTGTGCACTGGGACCCCGCCACATCTCACCTCCCACCTCCAGTCTCCTCTCACCCTTGGGGGAGCTCAGCTGGCTCCTCCCTTTCCCTCTCTGAAAAGTCAGCCTGACTCTCCCCTCCCCCACAAACCGGTATCCCACAGCTCAGTGTGGTGGGCGCAGGCCCCCGGTGGGAGGCCCAGATCCTTGCGCCCCACTCAGCTCTCCTTCCAAGGAAAAACCCAACAGGGGGAGGTGCGGCGGTCAGCAGGGTCCCATGGCTGCCTAGCTTAAACACACAGCTCAGGATCTCAGTCTCCCCATCAGCACCCTGGGGGCGCCGCTGTGAGGGCTGAGACGAATGATCACCAAGTGCTTGCTCCATTCCTGGGACAGAGGAAGCACTGAATAAATAGAGTTTTAAAAGGACAAGCTTCACCGGGCACCAGTGGCTCCTGCCTGTAATCTTAGCTACTCAGGAGGCTGAGATCTGAGGATCGGGGTTTGAAGCCAGCTTGGGCAGGAAAGTCCATGAGACTCCTATCTCCAATAAACCACCAGAAAACAGGAAGTGGTGCTGTGTCTCAAGTGGTAGAGTGCTTTTCTTGAGTTGAAGAGCTCAGGGACAGCACCTAGGCCCAGAGTTCAAGCCCCAAGAAAAAAGGACAAGCTGCTGGCTTACATTCATAGTCCTAGCTACTCAGGAAGCAGAGATCTGAGGACCATGGTTCAAAGCCAGCCTGAGGAGACAGTCCTTGAGACTTTAATCTCCAATTAACCACCAAAAACAAAAAACCCCAGAAGTGGAGTAGTTGCTCATGTGGTGGAGTGCTAACCTTGAGCCCAGGCCCTGAGTTCCAGGACTAACAACAGAAAAAAAAAACAACACAAAAAACCCTCAGGCTTGGGCAGGCAGGGCTGTGCCCCGCACGGCTGTATCGCCGCTCCTCCACAGGACACAGACCGGCTGCGCAGCCATGGAGAGGGCCTGGCTGCCAGGGTCTCGGGGTCTGGGGAGCAGAGGGAGCTGGGACCTGTGTCTTTCTCCCAAAGCCCCCTGCAGCCATGAGGCCAGTGAGGGGGAAGAGGACAGGGACTCGCTCACACTCACAGCTACACGGAGTGCAGAACGGGGTGAGGGGAACCAACCTTCCTGCCCAGCAAAGGCAGCGCCCAAGACAGCCCAGCAGCCCAGGAGCCAGAGGCCCAGCATGGTGCCGCCGCCACACAGCTGCGTGTTACCTGCCGGGCTCCTGCTATATACCACGGCGCCCGCTGTTATCTGAGACCTTGAGTGGAGAAGCCCTTTTCTGGGCGCGTGTCCAGTGGGCAGCGTGTGCCAGGCAGGGCAGCGCGGGAGCCTGGGATGGACACAGCTGCCGTCCACGGCTGAGCTCCAGGCCAAGCGCTCAGGGCCACGACGCGGCTGAACAGCAGCCCTGGCCCCATAGCTGTGAGCTACAGCCCTGCTGCCCGCGTAGGCTGAACACACTCAAGGTGTGTTCTAGCCATCTGAGCTGTGGGCACGAAGTTCAAAGGGCCAAGTGTTCCTGTACTAAGCTGGTTCCCTTCCCCTATAGGCTCTACGGGCTGCTCCTCACTCAGTCCCTGCACTCTCCCCTCCCCCTGGCTGCTGCCCAGGGACTGGACTTTTCCAGGGCCACAGGGGTCTCCGAAGGGACCTGAGATGCCATTGCTTGCATTGCCTCTTCATTTCCTCCAGAGAGGCCTCAGCTGTTTGAAAAGTTGCCTTTTCATTCTCCTTGTTTTCTTTCTCTCCTTTCCCACCCACTCCCTCTGTTTTGTTTGTTTGTTTGGTTGGTTTGTTTTGGGTCAGTCATGGGGCTTGAACTCTGGGCCTGGGCACTGTTCCTCAGCTCTTCAGCTCAAGGCTAGCGGTCTACCACTTGAGCCACAGTGCCACTTCCGGTTTTTTAGTGGTTAATTGGAGATAAGAGTCTCATGGTGCAGGCACCAGTAGCTCACACCTGTAATCCAAGCTACCTAGGAGGCTGAGATCTGAGGATCATGGAACTCATGAAATCCATGGGACTTTTATTTCCAATTAACTACTAATAAGCCAGAAGTGGAATTGTGGCTCAAGTGGTAGAGCACTAGCCATGAACCAGATCAAACTACAACAACAACAAAAAACAGTCTAAGTATAGCATCCAATTCATTCTTGAGTTCAAATCCCAGGACTGGAACAAAAAGAGAAAAGAGAAATAAACAGATCAGAGAAAGTGAGCGGCCTGAGTTTGCACACCTTTCTGACAGTGACAGCTGTGCTAGAAACAACACATCGGCCACCATGCATGGAGGCGCTGGGCCTGCTTCTGACAACCGCAAATTCCTCCCTCAGTTCCACCATTGCCAGGAGACCCACCCTGTCACCCCCCCCCACACACACACACACAGGAGGGCCTGGGAACCCACAGCTGGCCGTGAGCGGCTGGCGCCTGCGCACCTGAGAGAAGCCCGGGGAGCTGCTTTCCGGCAGGATTTCCGCTCCTGGCGGAGTAGTCTGCCCCTAATAAAAGTTGAAGAGACTCGAGAGAGGAGAGGAAGGGGTGGAGCCGCCGAGGCCCCGCCCTCCGCGGCTCGTGGACTTCAGGGCGGTGAGTGGGGTGAGACCAGGGGCTGGAGAGCAGCGGTCAGCCGTGCAGGGCCTGCGGTCCCCGGTGTGCTCATGGCCTTGTTCCTGCTCCTCACTGGGCCATTGGGGTGAGGGGGGACCCAGGCTGCCTGGATGCCTGCGCCTCCTCTCAGCAGAGCTGCCGCCCCTGCACACGCTCGCAGACACCGCGCAGAGCACGCCCTGGCGTTGGCCTCCCCTCGCCAGAGCCCTCTGGCCCGTCCTTGGGCTGAGAGGGCCGTGTGTCTCGGGCTGGGGCTCTGCAGGGGCCTGGGAAGGAGGCAGCCGTGGAGCCGCCACCGTGGGAAGAACCCCAAACCCACAGGTGCGTGCGCGGCGCCTCACCGCCTGCTGCTCCCATGGCAGCGCTCTGAGCATGCGTGCGGCCGCCAGCTGCTGCCTCCAGGCCGGGGCTGGAGGGGAGGCCAGGCCGCCCTGGCCCCAAACACCACGGCTTTCCACCCATGTTTTTCCTCATTTCCTGTGCCTGTGTGCTTCTGACCAGCCACGTGATGGGAAGGGGACTAGAGGGGCTCTCCCAGAGACCCCCACCACCGGGTCTGGCCCAGTTCACTCTAGCCCAGTGAAGGTTCAAGTTCAGGAACAAAGGTGACCCTCAAACAAAAGCCAGACAACACTGATGGCAGGTCCTGGGTTTATTGAGGCTTGGGAGGGGGGAGGCAGGGCAAGAGCCAGCACAGAGCAGCTCTGAGGCTGTTTTCCGCCAGGGTCTGCTTCACCCAGTCTAGGTGCGCAGTGACGCGGGTGAACACAGCGGGCATGCTGGTGTCACATTCACGGCTGCCCCAGGACACGATGCCCACCTGGGTCCACACTCCCCCCTTCTCACACACCAGGGGGCCGCCAGAGTCATTCTGTAGGGAAAAGAAAAGGAGGCTCCGGTTTTGTTGTAGCCCAGGCAGCCCGGCCCCTGCGCATGCGCCCAGAGGCCAGTCCATGGCCTGACCCAGGACACCTCTGCCTGCTTTCTGGGTGGGTTGTGGGAGATTTCAGCAGCTGCTTGTGGGTTGAACTTTCTGGAAGTCTGGGCCATTGTGTGACAGAAGTCAGTGCAGCTGAGTGCGTGCAGGGAGGCGCGGGAGGGCGGGCTGTGCGGGGCAGCGCGGCTGCGGCTCAGCCTCGGCTCTGCCTGGGCCCTGTCCAGGCTGCGCGGCTCACCTCCCGCAGCCGCCACGCACACGCTCACGGGGATCTGACACCATCGCAGCTGAGACACTGCACCTGCCTCCCTCCCCGCTCAGCCCTCACCCCGTACTCGGGCAGCCATGTCTAGAGAGGGGGGACAGTGTGGGCAGAGCCCAGGAGGCCGCACCATGCAAGGGCCGGTCCCGTTGCCTCCGGCGCAGATCATGTCATCTGTGACGTCAGCACCCCAGTACTTCTGACAGTCGGGAGTGGACACGAGGGGCAGCACTGCCTGCTGCAGCGTGGGTGAATTCTCAGTGTCTAGAAGGGCGGGGGAGTGAGGGGTCGGTGCCCGATGCCCTGCCGTGCCTGGCAGCGCCCACCCCGTCAGCCCACCGGGCAAGCTGCTCACTGTAGCGCCTGTGGCCCCAGCCTGTGATGACGCACAAGGTCCCTGGCGGGAAGTCAGCCTCGTCACAGGCCAGGCACACGGCGGACACAGTGTCAGTGAAGTGGGCCGGGGTGGCCAGCTTCAGCAGCGCGATGTCATTGTGCACAGGAATTACGCTGGCATTGGGATGAACGAATACCTGTAGCCAAGAACAGAGCTCCAAGTGAGGCCCACGGAGGAGCCGACAATCTGTGGACATCCGGGGACCGTGACCTTCCCTGGGGGCCTGTCCAGCAGGCCAGGTTACCTCTGCAATCGTCAACACCTGGACATCCGTCCCATTGTCGTTCAGGTTAAACACCCCCGCCACCACCTTTTCAATTGGCCTAGACATGGAGACAAGTAGGGGTGAGGTGGAAGAGTGTCTGCTCCCTCTTCCACCCTCCAGAGAGCCCGGGCTGCCAGCCTTACTCAAGCATACAGTGGGCGGCAGTGAGCACCCATTCCTCGCTGATCAACACGCCCGCGCAGGAGTGAATGTCACCTGGGATCTGTGCGAGAAGAAAAGGCAGTCACAGTTCCACCAGGACAGCACCCCATGCTGACCACGCCACCCTGCCCCCACGCCCAGCACCCCCTCTCACCCTCAGGGACACCATCCATGGCCAGGATCCAGGGACAGCATCCTCCCCGCCGATGACCCTGGGCAGGCCACTGACCTTAGGAGTGATGGCAGGGATCCCGCAGCCTGGGGACACAAGGAGGTGACAGCCAAAGTGGGCACTGGGACCCCGCCAGGTCTCCCCCCTCCCTCCTCCAGTCTCCTCTCACCCTTGGGGATCCCGGCTGGCTCCTCCCTTCCCTTCGCCCTGCCCCCTGCCCCCCCCCCCCCAACAAACCTGGTATCCCACAAGTGCAGCTCAGTATGAGGCGAGCAGGATCCTGGTCAGAGAACTCAGATTCTTGTGCCCCGTTCAGCTCCCCTTCCAGACAAATACAAATAAAAACACAAACATGTAGCAGGCGAGGCGGTCAGCAGGACCCATGGCTGCCTAGTTCAGCCACGCAGCTCAGTCTCAGTTTCCCCATCAGCACAGTGGGGCGCAGCCGCCACCCTGCCAGAGTTGGTGTAAGGCTGTGACAAATGAGCGGACCAAGCGCTGCTCCATTTCAGGGACACTATAGGCACTAAGTAAACAGACTTTTGTGGGGGGGGGGGGTCGGTTGTGGGGCTTGAACTCTAGGCTTGGGCGCTGTCCCTGCACTCTTCAGCTCAAAGGAAGCACTCTACCAAGTGACCTACACCACCACTTCTCGTTTTCTGGTGGTTTATTGGACATAAGAGTCTCATGGACTTTCATGCCCGGGCTGGCTTTGAACCATGATCCTCAGATCTCAGCCTCATGAGTAGCTAAGATTACAGGCATGAGTCACTGAAGCCCAGATGTAAATAGACCTTTAAAAGTACAAGTTTGTAGCCAGATACTGTAATCCTACCTGCTCAGGAGGCTGAGATCTGAGGATCATGGTTCAAAGCCAGCCTGGGCGGCAAAGATTATGAATCACTTGTCTCCAATTGACCACCAAACAACACAAAGCCAAAGGTGGAGCTGTTGCTCATGTGGTACAGTGCTAGCCTTGAGGAAAAACCTCAGCAAGAGCAGTAGGCCCAAGTTCAAGCTCCAGGACAACACACATGCACACACACACACATACACACACACACACACACACACAACATGACACGTTTCCAAAGGGCAAGAGTTGAAGGGCCCAAGCCATCAAGTCCCTTCAGTCTGTGCCCAGCTACACGGAGTGCAGAACGGGGTGAGGGGAACCAACCTTCCTGCCCGGCGAAGGCAGCGCCCAAGACAGCCCAGCAGCCCAGGAGCCAGAGGCCCAGCATGGTGCTGCCACCACACAGCTGCGTGTTACCTGCCGGGCTCCTGCTATATACCACGGCGCCCGCTGTTATCTGAGACCTTGAGTGGAGAAGCTCTTTTCTGGGCGCGTGTCCAGTGGGCAGCGTGTGCCAGGCAGGGCAGCGCGGGAGCCTGGGATGGACACAGCTGCCGTCCACGGCTGAGCTCCAGGCCAAGCGCTCAGGGCCACGACGCGGCTGAACAGCAGCCCTGGCCCCATAGCTGTGTGCTACAGCCCTGCTGCCCGGGTAGGCTGAGTCTATGGACTCACAGCTGAGCCCCAGACTAGCAGTGGCTATGGTCTAAGAGTCCAACAAACCTTCTTTCCTCAGAGCTCAGGCTCCTGATTAGCTGGGATTAGAGGTGTGAGCCACCAGAGCCCCGGGGACAGTTGTCTTACTGGAACTCCTTGTCTGTTCCTGGCCTTGGCTCATTTGAGAAGATGGTCTAAGGACAGAGAGTGGGCCACATGTGTTAGGCAGGAAAGCAGAGCACTGAACACTCGGTGTCCTGCCTGAATGAAGCCACTCTGCACGAGTGAGCTCATCGTGTAAGCCGCGCTCACCAGGCCCCTCCTGGAAGAGACCAAGTTCACCAGCCCCCAGTGTAGCAAGCCTGCACCAGGGGAAGGAATGGGAAAGTAGTTTGTTTTTAAAGATCCAATATAAATCATCACCATTTTGGAAGTCGTAATAATTTTATTTACTATTTTTGACACTAAAGTCAGAAGGTCCACTCTTTTTTTTTGCCTGGTGAGAATTTTTTTATTTTTAATATACTTTTATTGTGAAAATACTGACAGAGGGGTTACAATTATGTGGGTAAGATAATGAGCACATTTCTTACCAAGCGTTGTAGCCTCCTGCTTGGTTTCACCTTCCCGTCCCTTCGAATCCTTCCCCCCACCCTGTCCTCCCCTCCCAAAGTTGTAAAGTTCGTTTTTCGACATAACAACTTGTACATCTTATTGTTGCAATGGGTAGAAGATCCACTCTTAAGGGGACATTTAACAACACCGTGTACTCAGGAGACTGAGATGTGAGGATTAAGCTTTGAAGCCAGCCAGGGCTTCGCAAAAACTCCAAAAGTGAAGCTGTGGCTCAATGGTAGAGCACCAGCATTGTAGGAAAAGCCAAATGAAGGCAAGAGCCTCTAGGTAGACCCCCCCTACACACACACACACACACACACACACACACACACACCAAGAAAAGAAAAGCAAAGAAAGGAAGGAAAAAGGGAGGGAGGGAAGGAGGAAGAGGGAAATGAAGAAAGAAGGGAAAAAGGAAAGAGGGAAGGAAAGAAGAAAGAAAGAGAAGAAAGAAAAGGAGAAGGTAAAAACAGCTTTGGAAACAGCCAAGGCCTCTCTGGAAGAGGTGAAGAGGCAGCAGCAAGCACTGGTGTCCCGCGTCCCTTTGGAGACGCCTGTGGCCCGGAAGTCAAGTCCCCCTGGAAGTCCAGCGGCCAGGGTGAGGGGAGAGTGCAGGGCGGAGTGAGGAGCGGCCTGGGGAAGGTCTGCTTACAGGGGCTGGGACAGGAGGGACAGGGGCAGAGGCGGTGGCCGCCCCTCCCTCCTCCCTGACTGCACATCCTGGGAACCCGCAGCTGGCCATGAGAGTCTGGCCAGCGCCCGCAGGCTGGGCGGCGGAGCTGAGCCCCGCACCCGCGGCCTCTGCGGCCCAGGCTTTGTACGTAGTTGTGACAGGCGGTGGGCGGTGAGTGGAGCGATGCCGGGTGGCAGGGGAAGGGGGTCCCTTCCGGAGGAATCCGAGATGTGGGCTGGGAGGTGAGTCCCCTGATTTCCCCAGAGCAGAGAGGGGTGGAGAGGGCGGGGCAGAACTGGGGCTGCAGAGCTGGGGCCCGTGCAGGGCCTGAGGTGCTGGGTGTGCTCAGGGCCTTGTTCCTGCTCCTCACTGGGCCATGGGGGGGGGGGCAGGCTCCTGGATGCCTGCACCTCCTCTCAGCAGAGCTGCCGCCCCTGCACACGATCGCAGACACCGCGCAGAGCACGCCCTGGCGTTGGCCTCTGGCCAGTCCTTGGGCTGAGGGGTCGGCCGTGTGTCACCGTGGGAAGAACCCCAAACCCACAGGTGGGTGTGTGGCGCCTCACCGCCTGCTGCTCCCATGGCAGCGCTCTGAGCATGCGTGCGGCCGCCAGCTGCTGCCTCCAGGCCGGGCCTGGGAGGGGAGGCCAGGCCGCCCTGGCCCCAAACACCACAGCTTTCCACCCATGTTTTTCCCCATTTCCTGTGCCTGTGTGCTTCTGACCAGCCACCTGATGGGAAGGGGACTAGAGGGGTCTCCAAGAGACCCCCCACCACCGGGTCTTCTTCAGCTCAGTGGCCCCCAAACCAAAACCAGACAACATTGATGAATGTTTGTGGGTTTATTGAAGCTTGGAGGTCGGGGGAGGGCAGGAGGGAGCAGGGAGCAGCTCTGTGGCTCAGTTTTCCTTCAGGGTCTGCTTCACCCAATCCAGGACTGCAGTGATGCGGGTGAACACAGCGGGAGTGTCCGTACAGCAGAAGTCGCTGCCCCAGGACACGATGCCCACCTGGGTCCACACTCCCCCCTTCTTGCACACCAGGGGGCCGCCAGAGTCGCCCTGCAGGGAGAGGGAAACAGGCTCTGGTTTTGTTGTAGCCCAGGCAGCCCGGCATCTGCGCATGCGCCCAGAGGCCAGTCCATGGCCTGACCCAGGACACCTCTGCCTGCTTTCTGGGTGGGTTGTGGGAGATTTCAGCAGCTGCTGTGGGTTGAACTTTCTGGAAGTCTGGGCCATTGTGTGACAGAAGTCAGTGCAGCTGAGTGCGTGCAGGGAGGCGCGGGAGGGCGGGCTGTGCGGGGCAGCGCGGCTGCGGCTCAGCCTCGGCTCTGCCTGGGCCCTGTCCAGGCTGCGCGGCTCACCTCCCGCAGCCGCCACGCACACGCTCACGGGGATCTGACACCATCGCAGCTGAGACACTACACCTGCCTCCCTCCCCCTCAGCCCTCACCCCGTACTCGGGCAGCCATGTCTAGAGAGGGGGTACAGTGTGGGCAGAGCCCAGGAGGCCGCACAATGCAAGGGGAGGTGCCATTTCCTCCGGCGCAGATCATGTCATCTGTGATGTCAGCACCCCAGTACTTCTGACAGTCGGGAGTGGACACGAGGGGCAGCACTGCCTGCTGCAGTGTGGATGCTCTTTGATGGTCTGGAAGGGCAGTGGAGGGCGAGGTCAGTGCCATGGCGCTGCCCAGCCTGGCAGCTCCCACCCCCACCAGCCCCCGGACAAGCTGCTCACTGTTGTATTGGGTCTGGCCCCAGCCTGTGATGACGCACGGTGTCCCTGGCGGGAAGTCAGCCTCGTCACAGGCCAGGCACACGGCGGACACAGTGTCGGTGAAGCGGGCCGGTGTGGCCAGCTTCAGCAGCGCGATGTCATTGTGTACAGGATTACTGTACACTTTACCAGGTTTACTGATCACCTGTGGAGGAGACCAGAGTCCCAAGTGAGGCCCAAGGAGGAGCCCAGGCTCTGCAATCTTCTGGGGACCAGATCCTTCCCTGGGGGTCCGTCCAGCAGGCCCGGCTACCTCTGCAACGTCCAAGACCTGGACGTCCTCCTCATCAGAATCCAGGTTAAACGCCCCCGCCACCACCTTGTCACCTGGCCTAGGCATGGAGACAGGTAGGGGTGAGATGGGAGAGAGGCTGCTCCCCTCCTCTGCTCTACAGAGAGCGCAGGCTGTCAGCCTTACATGACCCCACAGTGGGCAGCAGTGACCACCCATTCCTCGCTGATCAGGGCGCCACCGCAGAAGTGGAAGCTGTCTTCATACTGGGGAAGAAAAAGGGACTGTCACAATTCCACCAGGACAGCACCCCATGCTGACTGCCACCCACACTGCCCCCGTGCCCAGCACCCCCTCTCACCTGCAGGGACACCTGCCAGGGCCAGGAGCCAGGGACAGCGTCCTCCCCATTGACCACCCTGGACAGCCCACTGACCTCAGGGGGGATGGCAGGGATCCCGCAGCCTGGGGACACAAGGAGGTGACAGCCAAAGTGGGCACTGGGACCCCGCCAGGTCTCCCCCCTCCCTCCTCCAGTTTCCTCTCACCCTTGGGGATCCCGGCTGGCTCCTCCCTTCCCTTCGCCCTGCCCCCTGCCCCCCCACAAACCTGGTATCCCACATTTGCAGATCAGTGTGAGGCGAGCAGGATCCTGGTCAGAGAACTCAGATTCTTGTGCCCCGCTCAGCTCCCCTTCCAGACAAATACACACACACACACACAGACATGCAGCCCGCGAGGCCGTCAGCAGGACCCATGGCTGCCTAGTTCAGCCACGCAGCTCAGTCTCAGTTTCCCCATCAGCACAGTGGGGCGCAGCCGCCACCCTGCCAGAGTTGGTGTGAGACTGTGACAAATGAGCGGACCAAGCGCTGCTCCATTCCGGGGACAGAGGAGAACTAAGAGAGCTGTAAAAGGACAAGCCTCTAGTGCTCACATCTGTGATCCTAGACACTCAACAGACTGAGATCTGACGATCATGGTTCAAAGCCAGCCTGAGGAGACAGTCCTCGAGACTCTACTCTCCAATTAACCACCAAAAGAGTCTGAAGTAAAAAGAAACTTGATTTAAAAAAAAAACCTCAGAAACAGAAGCTAGGCCCTGAAGGATGAATATAAAAAAGGAAAACAAAACAAAACAAGATAAACCCCCCTCAGGCTTGGGCAGGCAGGGGTGAGGGGGCCGAGCCGCCACTGCCCCTTCAGTCTGTCCCTGTGCCCCGCACGGGGTACAGGGGGTCTGGGGAGCAGGGGGAGCTGGGACCTGTGTCTTTCTCCCAACGCCCCCCTGCAGCTGTGAGGCCAGTGAGGGGGAAGAGGACAGGGACTCGCTCTCGCTCACAGCTACACGGAGCGCAGAACGGGGTGAGGGGAACCAACCTTCCTGCCCAGCAAAGGCAGCGCCCAAGACAGCCCAGCAGCCCAGGAGCCAGAGGCCCAGCATGGTGCCGCCGCCACACAGCTGCGTGTTACCTGCCGGGCTCCTGCTATATACCACGGCGCCCGCTGTTATCTGAGACCTTGAGTGGAGAAGCCCTTTTCTGGGCGCGTGTCCAGTGGGCAGCGTGTGCCAGGCAGGGCAGCGCGGGAGCCTGGGATGGACACAGCTGCCGTCCACGGCTGAGCTCCAGGCCAAGCGCTCAGGGCCACGACGCGGCTGAACAGCAGCCCTGGCCCCATAGCTGTGAGCTACAGCCCTGCTGCCCGGGTAGGCTGAGTCTATGGACTCACAGCTGAGCCCCACACTGGTAGAGGCTGTGGTCTAGAGGAGTAGAGTTGTTGTGTTTCTTCCAGAAGCCCTGTGCAGCTGGAGGAGCAGGCCTCTCCTCCATGTTTCAGGCAGAGGCTCGGGCGGGAGGCCTGGTGTGGGGGCAGGTGCTGAGGCTGGAGGCCCAGAAGGCTTAGAGAGGACTCTGCTCCAGGTGTGTTGTAGCCATGTGGGTGTGGGCAGAGCAGCTGGAAGGGCCATGTGCTCCTGTGCTAAGCAGCTTCCCTTCCCCTGTGGCACATGGCATCCTGGGCCCAGCGCGGTGCCTGGACCAGCCAGGGGGTCTTGTTATATCACCTGATGATTGTTTTATCACCCCGTAAGTGTTATATCCACCTGTAATTGCTGATGAGTCTGGATCAGGTGATTGCAGGGGTGCAGGGATACCTGATTCTTGCTTTGCTTGACCGGGTGGGTTGCTTCCTGGCAGTTGTGGAACTGGGAAACATTTTGGGTGAGGTTGCCAGGTGCAGGACCAGCGCCCCTTAGACGAGCAGGGCTTGATCTCCTCTGGCTGCTTTTAATTTCCCTGCATGGTGACCAGTGTGCTGCTTCTAGCACAAATTTCAGTGTCAGACAGCACTGTGGCCTTGGGCCATTGACTTGCTCTGATCTGTTTCTCTTTCTTGATTTTCTATTTTTGTTCTTCTTGGAGGGCTTGAATTCCAGCCCTGGACAATGAACCTACATGGTTTGTTCATTTGTTTTTCCCCCCTCAAGTCTCGTGTCCTACTATTTTAGCCACTGCCTCACTTCTGGCTTTTTAATAGTTCATTGGAGCTAAGAATGTCATGGACTTTTCTGCCAGAGCTGGTGTAGAATTTCAATCCTCTGATCTCAGCCTCCTGAGTAGCTAGAGTCACAGGCATTAGTCACCAGAGTCCCGATGCGTTTGTTTTTCTTGAACTACTTGCCTTCATTTTAGAAGATGGTCTAAGGACACAGAGTGGGCCACATGTGTTAGGCAGGAAAGCAGAGCACTGAACACATGGTGTTCTGTCTGAATGAAACCATGCAGGAGTGAGTTCCTTCTGTCAAGCAGCACCCACCAGGTCCCTCCTGGAAGACCAAGGATACCACTCCCCCATGTAGCAAGCTTGCAGCTTAAAGTATTTTGATTTTAAAGACCAAACATACATCACCACCAGCTAAGAAGTTCTAATAATCATATTTAGTATTATTGACACCAAGGACAAGAGGTCTATTTTTTTGGGGGAGGGGTGAGAACTCTGGGCCTGGGCGCTGTCCCTCGGCTCTCCAGCTCAAGGCTAGCACTCTACCACTTCAACCACAGAGCCACTTCTGAGCTTTTGGTCGTTAATTGGAGATAAGACTCAGACAGACTTTCTTGCTCAGGATGGCTTTGAACCATGATCTTCAGATCTCAGCCTCCTGAGTAGCTAGGATGACAGATAGGAGCCACCGGTGTTCGGCTCATGAAGCCTAATTTTAAGGGGACATAAACAACACAACATACTCTGGAGAATGCCATGTGAGGATCAAGGTTTGAAGCCAGCCAGGGCAGGAATGTCTGAGAGACTTGAGAGACTGTTATTTCCAAATAGGGGGCAAAAAAGCCAGAAGTGAAGCTGTGGCTCAAGTGGTAGAGTTACCATCCTTGAGTGGAAAATTCCAATGAGGTGACGGGGTCTGTGTATGTGCACACACACAGACACACAAGAAAGGAAAGGACAAAGGAAGGAAGGAAAAAAGGAGGAAAGCAGATAACGAGGGAGAAACATGGGAATAAAGGAAAGAAGGAAGCCACGAAGGAATGGGAGAAGGGAAAGGAAAGGAGGAAGGAAAAGAAGAAGGAAAGAAACTATTGAGAAAAATCTCAGTTTTGACATTGGTCGAGGCATTTCCGGGGGAGGGAAGAGGCCACTTCAGAGACCCCAGTGGCCCTGGAGGAGCCAAGAGCCCAGCAGCAGCAGCAGCACCAGCAGCAGCAGCAGCAGCAGCAGCAGCAGCAGCAGCAGCAGCAGCAGCAGCAGCAGGGAGTGGGGGGAGGGCAGGGTCTGAGTGAGGAGCAGCCTGGGGAAGGTGCTCCAGGGCCTGGGATGGGAGGGACAGGGGCCAAGCGGTGGCCACGCCCATTCCGTTGACCACGCCCCCGAGACACAGTGTCCCCGCCCCTCCCTCACCCACAACCCTCCGTGTGGCTCCGCCCCATGCCCTGGCCCCGCCCCTCCCTCACCCACCCCTTCACGTGGCCCCGCCCAGCGCATTGGCCCCGCCCCCGCGCCCCGTGGCCCCACCCCTCCCTCACCCACCCCTTCTCCTGGCCGCGCCCCCACGCTGTGGCCTCGCCCCCGCGCCGTGGCCCCGCCCCTGCGCCGTGGCCCCGCCCCTCCATCACCCACCCCTTTACGTGGCCGCGCCCCCACGCAGTGGCTCTGCCCCTGCGCCGTGGCCCCGCCCCTCCATCACCCACCCCTTCACCTGGCCGCGCCCCCACGCTGTGGCCCCGCCCCTGCGCCGTGGCCCCGCCCCGCGCCGTGGCCCCGCCCCGCGCCGTGGCCCCGCCCCGCGCCGTGGCCCCGCCCCGCGGCCCCGCCCCGCCCCGCGCCGTGGCCCCGCCCCGCGGCCCCGCCCCGCGCCGTGGCCCCGCCCCGCGGCCCCGCCCCGCGCCGTGGCCCCGCCCCGCGCCGTGGCCCCGCCCCCGCGCCGTGGCCCCGCCCCTGCCCTCCCGGCTGTAGGAGGCCCTGGGAACCCGCAGCTGGCCGGGAGAGGCCAGCCTCCCGCAGGCTGGGCGGCCCAGCTGTGCCGCGGTCCCTGTCCGCGGCCCAGGCTTTGTACACAGTTGTGACAGTGGGGCGGCGAGTGGAGGGACCGGGCGGGCTGGGCAGGGCCCACAAGCGAGGCAGGAGCAGGCATTGCTGATTTCTGCCCCCCTCCCCTTTCCGGGACTCGGGCCTGGTCGCTGTCCTGTGCTGCTTTGGCTCAAGGCTAGCGCTTCACCACTTGGGTCACATCTCCACTTCCAGACTTCGGCTTCCTGTTTGAGGGGTCGTTAATTGGCAGTTTGCGTCTGGTGGGCTTCCCGGCCAGGCTGGCTTTGCTGCACAATCCACAGGTCTAAGGCTGGTGAGTGGCGAGGCGTACAGGCTGGGGCTGCTGGCACCATGCTGCAAGGCTGGCTTTTGATACCAGTCAGCGTGTGTAATGACGACGTACTACTTGAAGAAGGAAAAAGCCAGCCAGGCCAGGGGAAGTGCTTGCGGGCCCCGAGGGTGAGGACCGAGCCCCAGCTGTGGCCTGCTCCCTCTCAAAGTGACCTGCAGCACCCACACAGCATCCTGGCCAGAGCCAAGGTCAGACGCCTGACCTCCGTGGGCTGGCTCTTCCTGGGAGGGGAACAGGGCTGGGGGGAGGGCAGGAGCACCCCCAGGCACTCGCTCGTGGGTCAGTCCTCACGTGCACGAAGGCTTGGCCTGGCTGGGAGGAGGGCAGGGCTGTGACTGGCACATCACCGTCCTGGCTGTGGCGTGGGATAGCCTGGGAGCAGCCTGCAGGTTCCAGACGCTTCCTTCTGGCTGCACGGCTTAGGCCTCCCTAAGCCTGCCGGCCTCATTGGCCTACACTGGGCCATGGGGGGTAGGGGGGGGAAGGGTTACTCAGGCTCCTGGATGCCTGCGCCTCCTCTCAGCAGAGCTGCCGCCCCTGCACAGAGCCCTCTGGCCCGTCCTTGGGCTGAGGGGGCCGTGTGTCTCGGGCTGGGGCTCTGCAGGGGCCTGGGAAGGAGGCAGCCGTGGAGCTGCCACCGTGGGAAGAACCCCAAACCCACAGGTGCGTGCGCCGCGCCTCACCGCCTGCTGCTCCCATGGCAGCGCTCTGAGCATGCGTGCGGCCGCCAGCTGCTGCCTCCAGGCTGGGGCTGGAGGGGAGGCCAGGCCGCCCTGGCCCACACACCCACACCCTGACACCTATGTTTCCCCCATTTCACCTCCCTGTGCTTTTCTGACCACCCTCCAGGGAGCTGGAGCCCAAATGATGGGAAAGGGACCAAAGGGGTTCCCCAGAGACACCCAAACCCGGTCTGGGCCAGCTCAGTGGCCCCCAAACCAAAGCCAGACAACACTCATGAATGTTTATTGAGGTTTGGTGGGAGGCAGGGCAGGAGGGAGCAGGGAGCGGCTCTGTGGCTCAGTTTTCCTTCAGGATCTGCTTCACCCAATCCAGGACTGCAGTGATGCGGGTGAACACAGCGGGAGTGTCCCCAGGGCAGAAGCCGCTGCCCCAGGACACGATGCCCACCTGGGTCCACACTCCCCCCTTCTTGCACACCAGGGCACCGCCAGAGTCGCCCTGCAGGGAGAGGGAAACAGGCTCTGGTTTTGTTGTAGCCCGGGCAGCCCGGCCCCTGCGCATGGCGCGCAGAGGCCAGTCCATGGCCTGACCCCAGGACACCTCTGCCTGCTTTCTGGGTGGGTTGTGGGAGATTTCAGCAGCTGCTGTGGGTTGAACTTTCTGGAAGTCTGGGCCATTGTGTGACAGAAGTCAGTGCAGCTGAGTGCGTGCAGGGAGGCGCGGGAGGGCGGGCTGTGCGGGGCAGCGCGGCTGCGGCTCAGCCTCGGCTCTGCCTGGGCCCTGTCCAGGCTGCGCGACTCACCTCCCGCAGCCGCCACGCACACGCTCACGGGGATCTGACACCATTGCAGCTGAGACACTGCACCTGCCTCCCTCCCCCCTCAGCCCTCACCCTGTACTCGGGCAGCCATGTCTAGAGATGGGGGGGGGACAGTGTGGGCAGAGCCCAGGAGGCCGCACCATGCA